AGCCGACGTTTGGGAAAGCGAGCAAGGCAAGTCACATCATCTTTGAACATATTGAATCCCAGTTTGCAAAATTATGTTGATTTAAATTATCGCATTATCGCTTTATTTAAATTCCCGCGTTATCATTGTTTTGTTTAGCCATGCCTATTTACCTTTGTTACGACCTTATTATTATTGTTATTGTTATTATTTCCTTGTTCACCCTAGAGTAAACAAAACCCCAACTAGTGGACACTCTACTCATGGCACCACTAGTTTAATTTTAGGTAGATGCTTCGCAATTTAATTAGGTAACATTAGGTGGTTTTACAACTCTAGACTTTGGGAATATTCATATCACCTTGACATTTTGGAACTGTTGGATTATTGTGGAATTGGATTCACACCGCCCCCTCTATTCAAAATCCCCAAAATGGTTTTAGGCTGGGCTCGGGGTGCATGGTTTTGATAGTAGCACCTCGGCCATATAAGGACCGGTCTTCGGGCCTCTGTTGCAAAGCACTACCGTACTTCCACATGTCTAGTGGGTAAGGCTTAGTTTGTGGCTCAGTCTGGTTATAAACAAAAGTACACGGATGGAGATGGATGAAGTCGGGGGTCGATGGACATTCTCCAGGGCAAATGAAGGCTACACGAGCTGCGGCCCGGTAGTCGAGATGTCATGGCACAGGGCCGGTGTCCTGCTGCTAGGGGCTCAGTCCTGCCTGCCTGTCCCGGGGGTTCCGGCCGTAGGTGGGATTGGGTCGGTACTCTTGTCTATGGCTAGGATGGGTTGGAAACTATGTCACGTCTTCCGTCTGTATACCGTGGTGGTATGTGGCACGTGGTTACACGTGAGGAAGATGTGTCTTGTGGGTAAAGATGTACACCTCTGATCAGAGTATAATCTATTCGAATAGCCGCGCCCTCGGTTATGGGCAAGCCGAGTAATGTACCCAAGTTAGTGTTTTAATTCTTAAAACCTGCTTAGCAACTAAAATGTGGAATGGTTGGCCTGGGTTGGCTTGGGACGAGCTGGGACCCAGGGTCGGGTTGCCAGTTCGGTCTGAATCATCGTAGGCCTTGGGTTAAGGCAGGTTCGTGTGGGTTCACGGCCTTGATAAACAATATGGTATAGTTCTAGATTCGCGTTTACAAAATAGCTTTGAGCAACTAATTACCTTTAAATGCTGTTTACTGCAAACCCTAACCCTTTATTGTATAACTCCTTTGTACTCCCTTGCATTTATTCTGCATTTGTGGGTGTGTCTTGTTGAGTACGGTGGTTGTACTCAGTCTTGCTCAATTCTTCCCAAACCCAGAAGAGGAGTTCCTGGAGGATGAAGGCTTTGGTGTCTAGCTCGTGCCTGCCGTCAAGTGCCTGTGGTCGTCGCCCTAGTCTTCCGCTGTTTCTCGTTTGTCTTTGGGTGTGCTGGGCCTTCGCTGCCCATGTAATAAATTATCTATTTACGCTTCCGCTTGTTAAACTCTGAATTGTATTAACTTTTGGTGTACCTTGCCTCCTGGGACAAGGATTAATGCACGCACGTAAGGAACGCCCGTTGGGTTATTTCCGGTCGTGACAAGTAGCCTCCCCGTAGCTAGCCGGCGCCGCCCCGACCGTTGCCGCCGCTCGCCATGTGCTCGCCGCCCGAGCTCGGAAGCGCCTCTCGTCGCCGGCCTCCCTCGATGCGTTTCCTCCTAACCCAACGCTAGCATCGGATTCCCGTAGCCGCGTAGATGCTTTTGCCGCCGGGAATCGGCCCCTCGTGACCTCGTCGCTGTTTCCCCCTTCTTCCGCCGCCGGTTGCCGCCGCCGCAATTCGCCGCCATCAAGCTCCCTCCGGCGAATCCGAGCCGTTGGCTCGTCTCCCCTCGTCTCGTGCAACCACCCGGTGTGCTCGCTTTCGCCTGTATCGCCGTGGTTTGCTCCGCCGCTCGCCGCTGTCGTCCGCCGTCCGTTCTGGCCGGCATCGTCGTCTACCTCCCGCCGGCCCGCGTGGCAGCCACGTAGGCGCCACGTCGGCGCCAGCTCGGCCAAGACCGGGTCGAGCCGACCCCGGTCAGCCGCTCCCTCCGGCCCCGCTCGCGGGTGCGGTCCACCGCGAGCCGTGAGGCTACGCGTGGGCCCGCCGCATCCGCGTCCTCCATGAACCGCGCGCGTGCACCGCGTCCCTTCCCCAAACCCTAGCGCACGCTGCATACTCCCTCCGCACGGTGAGCCGAGCCGCTGATAAGCGGGTCCCACCCGGGACCACGCGAGGTGAGCCCGGTCCACCGGCTCCCTCTCTCCTCCCCTCCCGCGCGCGCTCTGGGCCGCCTTTTGGGCCGGCCGGCCCATTAAGCTCGGCCGAGCCGCCCCTTTTCTCCCGGGCCGCACCCTAGCCGCCCGAGGGAAGTCTAATTTCCCTCCCTCTTTTCTTTTCTTTTCTTTTCTTTTTCAAAAAGGATTTAATTAAATCCTTTTCCTTTAGACCAAAAATCCAATAATCTTAGAAATTCAATATCTTCCCAACCGTAAGTCCGTTTGACTCCGTTCAACTTCCAAAATTCCTCAAATCTCGAGATCTATCTAATGGCACGCTTAGAGGTCATTAATAGGGCTTTATTTTCGCCGTTTGTTGAGTTGTCCCGTTTTGCGTATAGTTTTGGAGTCCGAAGACCCGCAGTGCGAGGATTTCGAGGATCAAGCTCCAGATCTCGAGCAAGGCAAGCCACCTTTGAACATCTTGAGCCTATATTTGAATTTAATTATGTTGCTTGAAAAATATTATGCATTGATAGGATCGCACTTAATCTGTTTGTCCCGTCTGCAAGGCAGATTGGCGGACTTACCTAATTTGTTGCATTTGATCCTTCCTTTGTTAATTGTTATATCATGTCCCCTTGTAACCATCTAGTTGCGCCTCGATATTCGTGCACCCTATGCGAGTATCGACGGTCGCCTTCAAACTTAAAATCTGAAAAACTTCTTGGGTAAAACTTGGGTTTTACAAAAGGCTTGGAAAACCCGACACCTGGGTCAGTGCTTGCGAACTAAATGAATTTCCAAAACCGCGGACCGGGGAACGTATCGGGTGTACGGTTTCCCGCTCTTGCACTTAAGGACCGTTTCCTTGGAATTTCATCCGAACATAAGACAAGTACGACCACATGGGTGGAATGGGACACCCCTGGTTGAGTAACTAGCTTATCAGGGGAGCCTTGATGCCGAGAGACATGTGGATTCGCCGGGGTGGTGTCGGGGAGGACCTCTGGGCTTCTTGGCACAGTATGGTCTGGGACCTAACCTGTTGTTGGTCTGGGACCCCTCTCATCGGCATATGGTAAACCTGTGTCGGCTTTGGAAATGCCTTGTCATGAAAGCTTGGAGGTCTCCCGACGTGGCTGATCCCCACGGGCTGGGTGATCCGGGTTAGTAATGTCGTGTGGGTAAAGTGTACCCCCTCTGCAGAGGTCAACAAACTGTTCGAACAGCCGTGCCCACGGTCATGGGCGGATGTGAGGTGATTCCTAGCGTAGTTTTGTTTGACTACTGCCTTGTGAAATTGCTGTCGTGAAAAGGGGATCGTTGTTTGGAAAATCTGCAGCTGATGGGATCAGCTAGGCCCGGGTGGCCGTTTGAAAGTTGTTGGCCCGGGTGGCCGTTTGAAAGTTGTTGGCCGGGTGCCAATCTTGATCAATTTTAAAGACTGATACATTGCACATACTCCGACCGGACGAGACGCACTGTCTCATCCGTGTCGTTTGAGAAGCACTCACTTAGTTGTTTTCAGAAAAGAGTTCAAATAAAATCAATTGCAAAAACAACAGCCCTTTCTTTGAAGCCTGCATTAAACACTTATTTCCCATGGCTTGCTGAGTACTCCCGTACTCACCCTTGCTCTATATAAATAATCCCCCCAGTTGCTGAAGAAGATGAAGCGGATCCCGCTGACGAGGAGTTCTTCCAGGAGCAAGCCGGCTACGATGAGTTTTAGGGTTTCGGCCTAGTTCCCAAGTCGCGCCTGTGTTGTTTGGTCCAAGTCTTGGCTTCCGCCTCCCTTTTGTAATGCAGTTGTGAGCTCGGGATCTGTCCGCAGCCCGACTTGATTGTACTCCTACTCTATAATAAAGAGACCTCTGTTGCTGTGATAATCTGTCTTCCTGTGATACCAGCACTGTTTCCTGGGACTGGTATCGATTAACAGGTTAATTTGGAGCGTCATGGGCTAGTTCCGGTCGGGACTAGTTCGGGGCGTGACACCGCCCGCCCTCCCCTGGCGGCGGCCGCCGCCTCCCCCCGGACCCCCGGGCGTCCCTGTCCTCGACGCGCTCCCGCTCGTCGGCCCGGCCCCGCACACCGACCTGGCGTCGCTAGCGCGCAAGTACGGGCCCATCATGTACCTCAAGATGGGCACCTGCGGCGTCGTCGCCGTGCGCGGCGAGGGCTTTCTTGCCGGTGCGCCACAATGAGGTTGCCCGGCTGCTGCACGGCAGGGCGGAGGCGTCATCCGCCGGCCGTCCCGTCGTCATCCCGCCGCCACCGACCACTCCTGCTGGCCACACAAACAGGGGAGAAAGAGATGAGGGAGAGAGAAGGAGGAGGAAGATCTGGCCTCGCCGCCGCCGCTGCCGACCACTCCCTCGACCGCCGCTGCCGCTGCCCTAGATCCCTAGTGTCGCTTGCCTCCCGTCGGTCGCCGCCGCTTGTCCAGCTCTCGCTCTTGCAGACCGGTGAAAAAGAGAGAGAGAGAGGATGACATGTGGGCTCCATATGTCAGTGGGTCCCATAATATATTTCTTTGTGTGAATGACAAATGGGTCCCACATATATTTTCTTAATTTGAATGCCACGTGAGACGGAGACTAGGTCAACATCAACACGTCAGCGCCACATCAGCAAAACCGCCCTCCAAAACCGCTGAGAGAGTCAAATTGCACCGGTTTCAATAGTTCGGGGAGTCATCTTATCCGGTTTTGCGGTTGAGGGTTACGAATTAGATTCTGCCGATAATTAAGGGAGTCAAAGTGGACTTTTTCAATGTTGTAAACATGTACATTTCCATTGCGTATTTTCGTAGCAAAGAGAGTATCATGCGATCGATTCAAACAAAGATTCGAGAAGGATCCATGTTCATATGGACCTGCGGCTATGAAGTACAAAGTTCCTTCATTGGATTGACAGCCACACGATCCGTCACCAAACCTCACGTTTTAGTAGCCGATGTTTGTGTCTTGAAGCTTCGTACTTCCACTCCCTACGCCTAATTGATCCTCCATTATCGTCGTCGTCGTCGTCGTAGTCATGTCGTGGGGCGGCTGCCTGCCTGCAACTTGGATACGCCGCCGTCGCACTCTCCTCTCCTCTTATCCCAAGTTCTCAATTCCGGCTAGCTCTAGGCGCCCTCTGCTTAATTACCGGTAAATTAATTAGCAAACACAGTAGCATGATGAGATTAGCAGTACATGACGAGTTCAGTCCTCCTAACGAACAGTGCTAAAAAAACGAGAGATTATCGTGGACAGAAAAAGTCCATGTCGAATCTAATCTCCGATTGGTTTGTGCCCTAATGATTCCACGTTTGGCGTTACCGGCGACTAAACAAATCGCTTTTAGTTGTCTCTTCCCAAAGCCAAGAAAAGCACGGACCCGGCCTTGACACATGCTTGGATGTGCCGGTAATGATGCTTACTAAAAAGAACACCTTATCTCAAAGCACCCCCCTCTGACATGTGGGGCACGTCTCATGTGGGTCCCACTTTGCCAGTCACACAGCTCCCTGGACCCAACGAGACGGCCACGCATGCAATTGCAGCCTTGCTTGCCCAAGCTTTACTGTTACTCAAACGCAGCAAAGCCAGAGAGAGAAGGAGAAGCAGAGGTCGTCGTCTCTCGCTGTGGTGGTGGTTGCTTCGAGTTTGCACAATATTTTTGGCGGTCGGTACGCTTTAGAACTATGTCGCAATGATTTTGACGGCCGACCGATCGGACCTTTATATACGGTCTCGTCCGATCGCCGTGACTCGCCACCGCAAATCACCAATCCACGGCGAACAAGTCGTTCCAGACTCCGGCGATCACCTGCTCCTGCTGCCACGATCATGGCCTGCACCAAGGTACGGCACAATCAACAAAATTGGTTGATTGATCACTTTGCCAGCTATGTACTCACTCCTTTTCAAAAGCAGCATTATTTACGGTGATCGATTATGGTTGAGCTTTTTGTTTGCAGGGGGTGGTTTTCGACGTGAACCTGCTCGAGAACAGCACGCTGGAGGACGGGCTCGCCGGCTGGGCGGCGGTCGGCGAGTGCACGGCGCTGTCCGTGCACAATGAGGAGCCGGAGAAGGTGCCGACCGAGACCATCAACACGGTGGCCGACGACTACAAGCCCAGCGGCCGGTACATCCTCGCGGCGGGCCGCGCCGGCGAGGAGGACGGGCTGCGCCGGGCGGTGGCCGGCGCGCTCAAGCCCCGCGTCACGTACCGCGTGGCCGGGTGGATCAGCCTCGGCGACGGCGCCGAGGGGAGCCACCCGGTGCGCGTCAACCTCCGCCTCGACGACGACGACGAGTGCGTCGTCGAGGGCGGCGCGGTGTGCGCCCAGGCCGGCAGGTGGACGGAGATCAAGGGCGCGTTCCGGCTCAAGGCGAGCCCGTGCGGCGCGACGGTGTTCGTCCAGGGCGCGCCCGACGGCGTCGACGTGAAGGTGATGGATCTCCAAATCTTCGCCACGGATCGCAGGGCACGGTTCAGGAAACTCAGGAAGAAGACTGACAAGGTGAGCACTCACATCACCCGATGGGCACCAAATTTAAAACAGTTTATTATTGGTGAGAACGATCAGTAGCTAGGCGATTGGTTTCATCTCCATTTTTACGTTTCAAGAGCAATCACCATTCACCATTGCATCAGCACCTACTATACCATATATGATTAGGCGGGACCAACATACTTTCGACGTGGCACATGACACATGATGTGCCACGTACAGTACGAAATGATCGAATTTTCAAGTGAGTAGATAAACGGCTACAATGGATAATTCGTTGTTTAGATAGTGACATCGATGAGCATCATTGACACGTAACGAGAAGTCACTCTCGCGGCCACGTATGCCAAATTAACGCAAGATTAATTAGTCCATGCAATGCGTCGTACGTGAATTAATTGAGATGATGGTGAGTTAATTGCAGGTGCGGAAGCGGGACGTCGTTCTCAAGTTCGGTGGGGCGGGGAGCATATCGGGGGCGTCCGTACGCGTGATGCAGATGGACAGCAGCTTCCCGTTCGGGGCGTGCATCAATGGCGGGGTGATCCAGAACCCGGCGTTCGTGGACTTCTTCACGAAGCACTTCGACTGGGCGGTGTTCGAGAACGAGCTCAAGTGGTACTGGACGGAGGCGCAGCAGGGGCAGCTCAACTACGCCGACGCCGACGCGCTGCTCGACTTCTGCGACCGCTACGGCAAGCCGGTGCGCGGGCACTGCATCTTCTGGGCCGTCGACAACGTGGTGCAGCAGTGGATCAAGGGGCTCGACCACGACCAGCTGACGGCCGCCGTGCAGGGCCGCCTCACCGGCCTCCTCACCCGCTACGCCGGCAGGTTCCCGCACTACGACGTCAACAACGAGATGCTCCACGGCAGCTTCTACCAGGACCGCCTCGGCGACGACATCAACGCCTTCATGTTCCGGGAGACGGCGCGCCTCGACCCGGGCGCCACGCTCTTCGTCAACGACTACAACGTCGAGGGCGGCAACGACCCCAACGCCACGCCGGAGAAGTACATCGAGCAGATCACCGCGCTGCAGCAGAAGGGCGCGGCCGTCGGCGGCATCGGCCTCCAGGGCCACGTCACCAACCCCGTCGGGGAGGTCATCTGCGACGCGCTCGACAAGCTCGCCACCACCGACCTCCCCGTCTGGCTCACCGAGCTCGACGTCTGCGAGTCTGACGTCGACCTCCGCGCCGACGACCTCGAGGTGGTGCTCCGGGAGGCGTACGCGCACCCGGCCGTCGAGGGCGTCATGTTCTGGGGTTTCATGCAGGGCCACATGTGGCGCCAGGACGCCTGCCTCGTCAACTCCGACGGCACCGTCAACGACGCCGGCGAGAGGTTCATAGATCTCCGGCGGGAGTGGACGTCGCACGCGCGCGGCCACATCGACGGCGACGGCCACTTCAAGTTCAGGGGCTTCCACGGCACGTACGTCGTGCAGCTCGCGACGGCGACGGGGAAGATGCACAAGACGTTCACCGTGGAGAAGGGGGACACCCCTCTTGTGCTGGATATGGACGTCTGACGATTACTTCCATTATTTTATACTCCATACAGTTTATACTGATGATTATTTGATCGAACAGAGGGCAAAGCAACTTTTACCTCGATCACATACAACAACTACAATTTTACATTTTCAACTATTGTATGAGAAAAGTAAGGTATTGTACTGGTTAAAGTTAATTAAGAAATAAAGTAAAAACGGGCTATTCCTCGTTTTATAGTACATGATTATCTTTTTAAAAATATATATATATATAATATAACGGGATTATCTGTGCAATATATACGATGTTTTGTACTACCACATTTCATTAGGTTCAGAAAATGTTTTTTTTCCTTTCAGTTTCCAGCTATTTATATTTCTAAGGTGACAAGGAGCTGTGCTAAACAGGGTCTCAATCGTTGTTTAATAGACCTTAAAAGTTTAAATAGTTGCAATCGATCCAGCTCGAGGATCGACTTGATCGCTTTATCTGGAAGTGGGAGAGTTCTGGCCACTACTCTTCCAGCTCGGCCTACAATGCTTTCTTCTTCGGTCGAATCCCCTTTCAGTCAAGAGCCTATCTGGAGGTCTCTTGCACCCCCTTGATGTCATTACTTCCCCTGGCTAGTTGCCCTAAAGCGTTGTTGGACGGCTGACAGACTGTGCCCCAGAGGCTTACCGCATCCGGATCTCTGTGTTCTCTACGAGCAATATGAGGAGAGAATTGATCATATCGTGGTCGCCTGCCCCTAATCCAGGAAGCTGTGGTGGATGCTTCTCCACCATTGGGCATCCTAATTGTCTACTGGTGAATGAGTCCTCCTTCCACTCTTGGCTGTGTGAGAGCAGAGAACAGATTGCACGGCCACTTCGGACAGAGGGCAAAGCAACTTGTACCTCACATACAACAACTACAATTTTACATTTTCAACATTTGGGTATTGTATGAGAAAAGTAAGGTATTGTACTGGTTAAAGTTAATCAAGAAATAAGGTAAAAACGGGCTAATCCTCGTTTTATAGAACATGATTTTCTTTTTTTAAATATAATATAACGAATATGCGATGTTTTGTACTACCACATTTGGTTAGGTTCAGAAAATGTTTTTCCCCCTCAATTTCCAGCCATTTATATTCCTTTTAGGTGTGTTGAACCGATAAAAAGATAGTCCGCGCAGGCGTATAGTAAAGTTTAGAGGTTAGAGGAGGCGACAAGGAGTTGTACTAAACATGGTCTCAATTGTTGTTTTATAGAGCTTAAAAGTTAAAACACGGTTCATTTAGAGCTTGTTCAGTTAATTCCCAACGGCAAGTCTAAACGATTAATAGCGTTTCACGATGATCGACCAATATTTCACTTAAATAGATAGCACTCAATAGTAAAAGTGACAACAATAGAGCGTGAGTGGCCACCCAATTTATCTAGGTCTCTGGAAGCCCCAACATGTCCGGGGGTTGTTTCCACCGCTGTCAATGATTGGAGATGAGAGGTTGACAGTACTTCCTAAAAGGAGTAAAAAAAACATGGCATCTCTTAAAAAAGGTATAAAAACTCTTCGAAAATAATTCAAACCACAAATTGTTATGGCGGTTGACCGTTGAACAGAGGCACTTCCAAATGAAAACATGACCAGCGTCCACCGCCTTCTGGATCGAAGGCTTAAAAGGCCCAAATTGCATTGGCCCAACATATATTAAGGCCCTCAACGAAATTTAACAAAACCTTTTTTTTTGCGACGATTAAATGGAGTAAAATTTGTTGCCAAACAAATACTCCTACTGGTGTTCTTGCAAAAAAGTATTATAGCATTCATTACTATCACCGTATTTTCGTCACACGCTGTATTTTGCTAGATTAGTTCATCCCTCTAGATCTATTGGTCTTCTAGATTATCCAATGCAATAGTAGGTACTGTTTAAGTGTCTTTTGAGATATGAAGATATGTGTTGGATGTTGCAAGGAAAATATTTATTAAAGCTAGATATACAGATCGTGCGATCTCCATGCATATGCAAGTTCATTACGCATTAACTTCTATAATTTTTTGTGATCAATTCGTGGACGTGCTTCGATGCTTTCTAAGCAAGGATTTGCATGTAAAAATGCATCACGATTCACAATGTTTGCTCCGGTCGGCGGCTTGTTTGTGCCGTCAAGATTCATCCGTTGAATTCGTTCCATTCGTTCGATGTTCAGACTTCAGACATGAGGCTATGCAAGCTCAAGTGTGCAAGTCTGGAACACGAGATGCAACCATATGCATATGCTGTATTCTGATCTGCTCTTCTAGACGTGTCACGATCTTGCGTCGGCCGATTCTCGTAGCTTGACGCCATGGCTATGGCTTGTAACTTCGTTCACCGAAAAGCTAGACAGATCCAGTTGGGACGGCTGCAAGTAGCACTACTCCAATGGTGAAACATGCAGTTCACATTTTTTTTCACAAAAAAGCTAGTAGAAATCTTTTGCAGTTCACATCGACGTTTGTCTAGTACGAGTCGTACTAGCAGAGACGAGAAGATTGTCTGTTGAAAGTACATGCCCATCAGGAGGACATCTCTGTTTTTTTTTTCTTCCATGGACAGGCTTTCATTTTTAGCTTTAGGTTAACGATCCATGCAAAATATAATAAAATGCAATTGTCCCACCAACGACCGAAGGATTGATCCACTTTTACTCCTCCCAAAGCCAAGAAAAGTGTCAGGATCCGGAGACGCTTGGATGTTGCTAGTGATCATTACCATGACAGATTAATAAGAAGCTAATTTATCAGAGTGACCGAATTACCTACGGTATCTTCTCGACTAATCATCCGAGACAATCGGGCCCCACTCGTCAGCGACTTGTACGGTCCAGTGTGACGACTAATCTGCATTGCCCAATCTTCAGTTTTGTACAAAAGATAGGAGAAAGATATGAGTTAGGTAGCTAAGCTTGGTTTTAGTAGTCTCTGCTGTATGAAACACCGGTTTTTGGCTAGTGACTCTGCCTTTCCGCTGTGTCGCGATGGATGTGTGATTGCCGACCAAACCGGCAGCTACGCAGCCTTATAAATTGCCCGCCTGCGTGCGTCTCATCTCTCACACAGTCGGTCTCACTTGCCACCGGAACCCAGCAGCCAAAAGCACAAACGCTAGCTGAGACTTGCTGCAGATTCAGAGTTTTCCCCTCGCACTCCTTCGGTCCATATGGCGTTCACCGAGGTATGTGATGCTCTCAGCTTTGCAAGTTCTCAACTGTCAGCTACTCAGCTTAATTAGAGCTTAATTACCATGTCTGACTGCTCTCTACTAGATTGTAACACACCAATTCTTACAGTGGTTGGTGGCAAAGTTTGCAATATTACTGCCAGAGCTGAGAGCTCACTGGCAAACCTGCTTGTTGTTTAGTTCTTCTCTGGGACTCTGGCAACCTGAAAATTAAAACTTTATTGCAACTTCAATGGTCTTGTGAATTCATGGCACAAAAGTAGGTGCATTGTAGGTGCATTCCAATTCTCTTGAGAATTCAGAGTAGTTATGCCCTTGTAGGTGCATTCCAATTCTCTGCTTTAAAGCCAAGCAAAACTACACGAGCTGGAGTAGCTCGTTACAGATGTCTCACATAAATTAGCTGTCTGATCCTGACAAGTGACAATAAGCTAGCCAGTGCGTCACCCATATCGAACTGCTATAGGATTTCTTCTTCAACCACACCCATTTCGCGCCAGCAATCTCTGAATGGTGTTCCGCGACATGTGTCTTTCTCTGACACTAGTGTACACCATGTGTTGTTGGCGCCCGCAGGAGACAACGCACTTGGTCATGAACCATGTCGAGCACTGCGAGGATGGCGGCGGCCTGGCAGTGGCCGGCTGGACCCCGTCTGGCTCCTGCACACTGTCCGTGCACGACGACCCGGCGCCGGAGACGCCACCGCCGCATCCTCTGTCCGCTACGGAAGACGACGCCGACGAGCCCAGGCCGAGGCCCAGCGGGCGGTACGTGCTGGCGGCGCACCGTGCCGGCGAGAGGGACGGCCTCTGCCGGGAGCTCTCGCGCGCGCCGGCGGCCAAAGTCACGTACCGCGTGGCCGGGTGGGTCGGCCTGCAGGGCGCGGGGGCGGCGGACGGGTGCTGCCACGCCGTGCGCGTCGAGGTTTGCACGGACGACGGTCGCCCGGTCGGCGGCGGCGTGGTCGTGGCGGAAGCGGGGAAATGGGGCGAGATCATGGGCTCTTTCCGGGTGGACGACGACGAGCCGCCGCGCTGCGCCAAGGTGTTCGTCCATGGACCGCCGGCCGGGGTGGATCTCAAGGTGATGGACCTGCAGGTATTCGCCGTGAACAAGATCGCGAGGCTCAGGCACCTCAGGAAGAAAACTGACAAGGTATGAAAAACATAACTATAATCTATAGCACTTTTTACATAAAAAAAAATCTAGCACTACGCAACGTGATCACATGAATGACATAAGCAACATGACGAGCTATGAACTGCCTCAACAAAAAGTGAGTAGTACGTTGCACTCAAGCGCATGCAAAAGCAATGGCCCACATGACAATTCACGTACATGATCATTGCGTTGAGCAAATGACCATAAAATTTGCATAGGAACATTGTAAAATGAAAGGAAAACATTACACTTTGCTTCATTTGCTTCACACTCACTCAAGCACAAAAATTTTCACCCCATCTAATCAAAGATCCACCCAATCATACACGAATTTCTTTCTCCCAATATAGTAACAAAATATCATAACACTCGAAATTTCTGCAAAAACTACTACATAGGTGCGCAAGCGTGATGTGGTGCTCAAGCTGGGGCGGCGAACGGGCGGCACGGCGATCCGCGTGGTGCAGGTGGAGAACAGCTTCCCCATCGGCGCGTGCATCAACAAGACGGCGATCCAGAACCCGGCGTTCGTGGACTTCTTCACCAAGCACTTCGACTGGGCGGTGCTCGAGAACGAGCTCAAGTGGTACTACACCGAGGCGGTGCAGGGGCAGGTCAGCTACTCCGACGCCGACGAGCTCATCGCCTTCTGCGACCGCCACGGCAAGCCCGTGCGCGGCCACTGCATCTTCTGGGCCGTCGAGAACGTCGTGCAGCCGTGGGTCCGCGCGCTCAACGGCGATCAGCTCCGCGCCGCCGTGGAGGGCCGCCTCCGCAGCCTCGTGACGCGGTACGGCGGCAGGTTCCCGCACTACGAGGTGAACAACGAGATGCTCCACGGCGCCTTCTTCCAGCAGAGGCTGGGCGACGACATCAACGCGCGCATGTTCCGGGAGACGGCGCAGATGGACCCGTCGCCGGCGCTGTTCGTCAACGACTACAACGTGGAGAGCGCCAACGACCCGAACGCGACGCCGGAGCGGTACGTGGAGCTGGTCACCGACCTGCAGAAGCGCGGCGCGGCGGTGGGCGGCATCGGCGTGCAGGGCCACGTGACGCACCCGGTGGGCGACGTGATCTGCGACGCGCTGGACAGGCTCGCCGTCACGGGTCTCCCCGTGTGGATCACGGAGCTGGACGTGTCGGCGGCGGACGAGGCGGTGCGCGCCGACGACCTGGAGATCGTGCTCCGGGAGGCGTTCGCGCACCCGGCGGTGGAGGGGATCATGCTGTGGGGGTTCATGCAGGGCAACATGTGGCGCTCCCACGCGCACCTCGTCGACGCCGACGGGAAGCTCAACGAGGCCGGCCACCGCTACGTGGGTCTCCGGCAGGAGTGGACGTCGCACGCGCGGGGGCAGGTCGACGGCAGCGGCCACTTCAAGTTCAGGGGGTTCCACGGCAAGTACGTCGTGCAGCTCACCACCGGCGCCGGCGAGATGAAGTACCAGCAGTTCGACGTCGGCAAGGGAGATGGCCCACTCGTGCTCGACATGGATCTCTAGCCAGCCAACTCCATCATCGGGGGGGATTCATACGTTCATACGTGTAGTACATAGAACGGTTAAGTGCATTGCATATATACGGATTATATTGGGATTGGGATTATTTTTTAGATCGATCAGAAGAGATGTGATGTTGTTTTATGTTGTGATTATAGGGCCTTGGCGTGTCCGTGTGTGGTAATTTAAACCGTAAAAGAGGGTATTGGATTTGTATTTGCTACCTACAGATTTGCAGTAAATAAACGACCAATTTAAAGTACCATGTCTCGTGTGTATATGATCATGCATGAGCATACCGATTTCGGCCCGTTCTGTTGTTACTTTTGTGGGTTTTCATGTGCTAAATTGAACTGGGCTTTGAGCGGCCCAGTGCAGTGGAGATATCGGAAGTTCGGGCCTTGAGGTTGGATACTTTTCTCTGGGCCTGCACGTCCCTTCAATCTGAACTGACCTGATAGAGCCGGCCTATTAAGCATAACAAAATTGCTAAAGATAAATAATGCATACTTATCGCTTTTAGCGTAATCCCAATCGATATTTTTCACCATTTGATCGACATCAAAGATAATATTTTTTTTTTGCACAATTACGTTTTCGAGGGATGACAATCAGGTTTAGATAAAGCCCAGAAAAGTAGGAAATTGCCGGATTATTGGCCGTGGGTGATCTGATGAACTGAAGATCGAGGATTCGGGTGTATTCTATGGTACAGTTTCCCAGCGTCTACTCTATTGTTTTCCATACGTGTACTTTTTTTTGAACGGTTTCATACGTGTACTTCTACATTTTTTTAAAAAAAAATCTATAGAAAAGTTGTTATAAAAAGCATATTAATCATTTTTAAAAAACTTTTTGCTAATACCTAATTAATTGTAGGATAAGGAGGAGCCGGATATAGATCCAAATATCCGACGGTCAAAAATCGGCTACGATACATTGTGAAGATAATTGGAACAATATGTGTTTTAGATAACAACAATTGACTTACTTATGCTCCTCCTCGTCCTCTAGTGTATAGTCAATCGCCAAAAAAACAAAAGAAGAAGAAAAAAAGAGTGCAACGCGGTTTGCTTTTGTTGAATCCCGGAGTTGGGAAGAGATCCCGGAGTTTGCTCTGCCCTCTGCTTTCATTTCCTAGGGTTGCTTGTCGCAGTACAGTTTTGCGCCCACGTCTGATGTTTAACGCGCAAACTATCTCTCTCTCTCTCTATCTCTTGACTTGACTTCTCAGGCCACGTCGCCTACTCGCCTGGCACCCAGTCTTTCTTGCTCCAAATTGTTTGTTGTTTGTGGGGCTTTGGGCGGGTCAGGAATAGAGGATGGCCCCACAGTTACCTTTCACCTGCCAATTGTAAACTTTTTTTTAAAAAAAAACAAAGACCTGTCAATTGTAATCAATATTTTAATTTTGAAACTTAATTTTAGAGTTACAGTTTAAATTTTGAAACTAGTTGGAGTTGTGGTTTCTTTCATCGTAAGTCTATTTTACAGTATTAGATTTTGAACCGTTAATAATACTGGTATATTTTTTTATTCATACATTAATTTTGGTTTTAGACGTTTCGTTCATTTTTCCCCGTATATCACCCACTGAAACTATGCATGTGCATGCCAAGCTAAGTTCAGAAACGGGGAAATAAAGAGATTCAGATATGCAATGCAAGTCAAGCTTGTGTTTCAGTTTCAGGCTTCAGGCACCACTGCTAAAGAAATCTGAAGACAAAGTGGACTCTGTGTACAAAAAAAAAATGAGTTATTTATTTACTGGGACTTGATGTTACAGACACAAAAACTTCAGCAAAATGTTAACATCGCAGAACGACCGGTTTGCTCTTACAGGTTCTGCATTATCATCATACATGTTCTCCTTCTCCATGTTGCGACACCCCAACATTAACAATGCAACCTTTGGGAGAAGAACACTACTACTTGACTAAACACGAAGAAGAAAAACTGCAACAAAGGATACCAATTAAACCAAAGAATTAACTTGCTCGCCTCTTCTTGCTCTCGCCGATGCTGGCCAAATTGGCCACATTCTCTGCGAGACAGTGAGGGCCGCTCAAGCTGTTGTTCACCTACCCTTAACCTTCGTGTCACTTGAACACAGTTATACAGACGCGAACTTGAAAAGACAATGTACACCCTATTTCTGAAACCTTTTAAAGTCCCCAGCCTTAGTTACTGTTCATCAGTGACTGTTCTTAGCCTGAAATGTTGTACATTTGGCCAGTCCACTGAAGCGCAAAGTTAGCTTGGGGGATCTCGTCGACCTGGAAGTCGATTTCTTGGCTGTTGAGACTGTTCTGAATCCACAGCTGCGTGTCTCCAAGCGCCGGGATAGTTATCTCCGCTGCATCTGCAGATTGTTCAAGCACAAGAACAGATGAGAACACTGCGAAACTAACGCTCGATGTTGAGCAAATCTGTAGTAACCGATACTTACTCTGCAGCAGAGGAACGTCGTTGCAGTGGAGCGCCATGGCGTCGGCCTCTTGGAGGTTGTTTCGCTGCTCGTACGCCGCCAGCAGCAGCTGATGCACGAACGCCTTCTGACCCCTGTTCAGCTGGTGCAGCTGGTACTCCACGCCGGCGAGCTCGACCTTCACGAGCTCGAAGATGGAGTTGACGTAGACGGTGCCGTGCTGCGTGCTGTACATGTACACCTTGTCGCCGGGGACGCACTTCTTGGCGTGGCTCGTCGTCACCTCCCACATGCGATCGGTCATGCCGTCGCCCATGATCTGAACACAAAGAACAGAGCAATGTTCAGAATCCACCCATGCGTTGGAGAAGCATTGTGATTTGCGAGATCAAATGCGGTGGAAGCTTACAGCGCGCAGCTCGTCCGGCTTAACCGTGAGCAGCCGCAAGAACTCCTGCACGTTCCTGACGTTGTGCTGCGTCAGCTTCCTGTGGAAGGCACCCTCCTTGCCAATCTTCTCAAGCCTCCAGACATCGTCGCCAAGAACGGGAGGGTAGTGCTTCCTGTACACTGCAAATCACACGCCAAATCGTCAGGGAAACAATTCAGAGAAGAGGAGAGAGATGTAGTGTGGTGAACTCGTGATGGTCTCTGACGAAACGTACGTTCGCCGCGGTGGTCTCTGACGACGAAGGGCTCGGTCATGGCCTCGCCTATTCTTGGGCCGTCGTAGCTGCCCGGCACGACGCGGACGCCGATGCGGAACCTGCGGCAGCGAACCCAGGAGGAGTTGTCCGTGAACTGGAGCTCGTTCACGACGACGCAGCCGTCGCGCATGGTGAGGCTGACGTCGCCGGTGAGGAGCGGGCGCTTGCCGGAGCGCTCCTTCACGATGCCCCTCTGCTGGAACTCCTCCGCCGTCCAGTGCTCGCGGTCGTCCGGCGGGAAGTCGCCCAGGACCGGGACGACCTCGACGCGCAGAGGCTGCGAGATCGTCGCCGGCGCGCCGGTGTCGACGTCGACGAGGATGATCTCCAGTGGGTTGCCGTTCACGTCCTCGATCTTGCTCCCGGTGAAGATCGGGAGCTGCGGCTTGAACCGGAACGCCAGCTTCCACATCGGCGGCTGAGCCGGCGGCGTCTCAGGCGACATCCTGACAATACAGATCAAACAATGTTATACATCATTCGGATTTCTTGCTGCTGTTCGACGCTGTTCTTGCGGATTTCGTTGTGAATTCTCACCTCTCGATGTAACGCGGGCTGCGCACGAGACCTGCCTGGAGCTCCTCCTGCACCTGCAAGTAACAAAGAAACAGAGCAATTAGCACACTGCAATCCAAGAACAGTTGGAACAAGCTCTGTGCAACTGCAAATCGATCATCTCCTGCCTGCTTACCACTCTACGGAGAAGTGGCTCCAGTGCGACGAACAGAGTCTGCATCTGCTTCACCATCAAGGCCTCACGGATCACCCTGGAATCGAAAAGCAAACACATGTTAATTAGAACCAATCTCCCCTTGAACGATCACAAGCAGAGCAATAGCGAAGGAGAAGAAAGCTAGCTCACGTCGAGAAGGACGGCATGCGGCGCACACGCTTGTCGTCGGGCTGGTCCTCCTGTCCGTAGCCGTCGTGAAGCCGCTTCGCCGCCATTGTTGTCAGTCCAAACAAGCTCAAGTGTTCCTTTTCTTTTTCCTTCTTGATCCGCGAATTTTTTCTCTAGCTATTTTCTTCGGGAGGCGAGAGAGAAGCGAAGCTGTGAGATTTTGGTTCGGTGAGGAGAGGTTGTGCAGGTTGGGGTGGTTTGCGTAGGAGGAGTTGCAGTGTGCGGACGGCTCGATTTATACTGCAGCCGCAATGGCGGTTCGAACAGTGAGAGGATGGAAGTTGGGAGGAAGATTCCGGGAAGGCGAGACGAAGGAGGTTGCTTCAGTCTGGAGTAGCGAGCGAGCGAGAGAGAGAGAGTGATGTAATGGTGCCATGTCATGGGCTCGCAGAGGTCAACGTCGCTCTCCCGTCGTCGCGTCGTCGTCTCGCTCCTCTCCGGCGCCGAAAGATTATGTGACAGGCGGCCGTCCGCCGTCATGTAGACAGTACAGAAAGAACAGGATTCCTAATGTACTTTTATTGATGATTCTAGGAAAATTAAATTTGTCTCTGGATTGCATTAGTATTTGTTCTTAGCTTTGTTGCTTTTCTGACAAAACTGTCTGAAGAATGGATGACCCAAGACTAGTGGAGAATACAAGAACGATGGGATTTGGGTGTTGAATATGATAAGAAACCATCGTAATGATTGGTAAACAAATGTTTCTCTTTGTGTAAACTGTTCGCTACTTGCATTGTACTCCTACATTTGTACATCTGCATATACATGAACCTTATTTCTGTGATACAGAGAAGCAAACTGTCTGTCTCTCTAAACAGAGTTGAAAATTTGGCGATTACAGGGGCTGATGTAGTCGACATTTAAAATGGACAATAACAAACATGAGTCCAAGCACACAAACACCAAAACTGGTAAATTGTCAAGAAGGTGTCCAAGCAAGAAAACTTTTGAATTTGGAGGTGGAATTTCGGCTAGAGCAGTTGACAAAAAATGCTGCTCCTGAAGCAGGACCCATTTCCTGGTAAATTAACAAGTGTTTTCAATTAAGGTTCATTATGGCATATTCTGGATCTGCTACCGATTTAACTAAACTAACTGATGGTCTTGTCAACAGACAAAGATGGAGTAACTGACAGCCTCACAAAAGTCTGCTCCATCTACATGCAACTACTACCGGTGGTATGATATGCCTGAACCGTTGAATCACAAATGACCATTAAAAATAAAGCATGTTTTAAGCAATAACATGATCTAGTGAAGCATGTTAGTACTCATTTGGAGTACTAACTCTACAATCTGAATATTCCATAATCCATCATCATTGCTGTGTGGTTGTGTCAACTTGTGCTAAAGAGGGATAGTGATCAAATACTGAGATTTGGTTTAAATTTCTGAAATCTAGAACAAGCATGTCGTGGTAGGCATCTTCCTCATATTCTGGTGATGCAAGTGGCGCATGAAAGACGCGTTTTAACCGCCATTTTAGTATCTCGATCACTCTTTGATCTTTGAAATGTCTTTTGTTAATGCAACTAGCCCATTGCAAGTACAACCCCAAACAACACTTCATCATCTAATTAAAAAAAATAACACTCCAGTCTACGCTACAGTTGGAACTTGGAAGCATGACTAGACCTGTAGCCATGACAATCGCAGAGATGGACCTCTCTCTCTCTCTCTCTCTCTCAAGATGGATTTAACTAAACAACAATGATTTTAGTAGTTTGCTGGTAGTATAAAATACAAGTCCTCGAGAAAGACCAGAATAAAAATGAAATCAGTACAAGTAGTAACCTGCATGGTGGGCCACGCGGTTACTTGCCATGGCGCATCGGCGGCTGATTGGCATGGGAGTACGCGTTACACGTAGGAAAAGACCTTGACTTGGGCCAAATGCTCCAAATCTCAAGATAGTTAGCACGTAGTCACGTACTAACGCTGTGAAATTAGAGATCCCCACTTTGTAGCCCGCGGTGTGGTTGGCCATCAGTTCATCAGTTGTGCTGCCCTGCACTTGATCAATTTGATGATGAAACCATCATTTGTTTGCTTGCTGGTTTATGATCCACAGCTAAAATTATAAATTTTAAATGATTCTAGTTGTTTTTTCGTCGTTATCTTTTTTACAGATTTGGCTTTTCAATAGTGAAAAATATAAAAATCCTACCATAAAATTTTGTTAGTTGTCTCGTTTATTTTCTACGTTATTAACCATAGCCAACGAATGTGAGCTATGTTTAGGTTGGAAATCATTTAGGTTTCTAAATTTGTAAATCGAGTTTAGATTTGAAATTTTGTGGAGTGATGAAGGGAGCAATTAGTATGCTATACCAATGTGACAAAACTGAAACTTTGGATTTTGTCTGTGTTAATGGCATTGTTGAGCAAACCATATTTTCTTAACGAACAGAAGATCTAAGAGCCAAGGTGCTCCTGTCATGAAAACGCGTACCGAGACTTGTAATATCCCTCTAGTCAAGATCTGAAAAATGATCACATATATAAATGCATCGTGCCAAAGTTTTAAACAATTTCTTTCTTAAATTAATATATGGATGCATATAGTGAACATATCTGCGGTTTGGATTTATTCATGTGACAAAGTCGTTTTCATCGTTGGGGGGGGGGGGGGGGGGTAGTTGAACTTGCAGCCATGCTCATATGCCGATCGCTGTCTTGCTCAGAATCTCCATGTCAGTCTTACGACGCGTGTAGACTTGATGGGCATCTATCATTTTCATTGGTGTGCACATCTTCCCTCTTGTTTGTTTTGTTAGATTCATAAATCCAAAATGATTGTCCAAAAAAAATATATCCAAAATGACTTAACAGCAAAAAAGCGACATATGGAATGCTTCCTATCGTCTGTCTTTCAGCTCACAAGCCGCTGTAAAAATTTTAATTTTAAAGCTTAATTTTTAAATTACTTTTAGAATTTTTTCATCCTAGTTTATTTGTTAGCAATGTCTTTTTAATCATGAATAACACAGGTATAGAAGTATTATCCACAAATTATATGTTGTTAGGAGAATTTCTAGATTTAAGGTTCATTAGACGTTTGAGCTTTTTCTCAAGAACTAATCAGGGGAAAATTCGTGTCTCAAATATGACCATTTGGCTAACACCATTAAAAACAAACAAACTAGTGAAGTAGGTATCTCAAAGGTGCGCATCCATCCAACAAAAAGGACAAGAAAAAGGCATTCAAACTCTCATGCTTTTTTGGTCAATTTAAACAAGAAGAGGAATTCAGGAATCTGGATACTTCAGAGAACGCTAAGGTCATCTTAAGATAACATTTAACAGCAAAAAAGCGACATATGGAATGCTTCCTATCGTCTGTCTTTCAGCTCACAAGCCGCTGTAAAAATTTTAATTTTAAAGCTTAATTTTTAAATTACTTTTAGAATTTTTTCATCCTAGTTTATTTGTTAGCAATGTCTTTTTAATCATGAATAACACAGGTATAGAAGTATTATCCACAAATTATATGTTGTTAGGAGAATTTCTAGATTTAAGGTTCATTAGACGTTTGGGCTTTTTCTCAAGAACTAATCAGGGGAAAATTCGTGTCTCAAATATGACCATTTGGCTAACACCATTAAAAACAAACAAACTAGTGAAGTAGGTATCTCAAAGGTGCGCATCCATCCAACAAAAAGGACAAGAAAAAGGCATTCAAACTCTCATGCTTTTTTGGTCAATTTAAACAAGAAGAGGAATTCAGGAATCTGGATACTTCAGAGAACGCTAAGGTCATCTTAAGATAACATTTAACAATTTGGCAAGGACGCAAATTTGGTAGGATTAAATTATGAAGCCTAAGCAGGGTACAGCGGTCTTGGTCTGAAGCTAGTGTTCAGTACTTCAGTGACCCTTCTGTTTGCCAAGAGCCCAAGACCGTCTTCATTGAATACTATTAGGGCGAAGATGAACCGATGAATGTTACTTCCTCCGTTCTAAAATACAAAATTTTGAAATGAGTAGTTCTTGAATACTTATGTGCCACTTCAGATATAGGTAAAGTTTTCACTACTGAAAAATACAGAGAAATACAATCATATCCTCTAGTACTATTAATTATACTCCTCTAAACTAACAAAATACTATTTCACAACCATTTTTCTGATGCCTGTTTTCTGAACTTTACAGGTAGCCAGCCATAATTTGATGTACTGTTAGTACGGCTTGATTCCCCCGGTATGCTTAAGCTCAATATTCAGTAGCCAGTAGTAAAGCAAACACTACTTTGCTCGGTTACTAATCTATGATTAGGACTTGCTACTAAAGGGTTAAACTTTTCTTAATGACTCATGGTGAATACTGCAAAGAAGTTTCTCGCACTCACTCCAAACGCAGTACTGAGCGATAGAGACTCACCTGCGGCGAACAAAATCAGCAAGCCGCCATTGCTGTCCATGCAGCAACCACCACCTCAGTCCCACGCAAGTACCGAAACATTCAGATGCAATGCAGGCACCGGGAGCATTTAACTTCAACGCTGTGATCCACCAGTTAATTTTACTGCGTAATTTTGAATTTTAAAACCTAATTTGAAACTAATTTGGGGAGGTTTTTTAATTTATGTCCATTAAAATTATTTTTCATTACTTCGGTCAAGTGGCATGATCAACTTATATATAGACCACCGTCCCCAAAATGCTAGTAAGTTCCAGGGTTCACAGATGATGGTTGGAGGTTTATGAAAATATATTGTTTTTAGCTTGTTTATGTATGAAATTTTGATCGGTTTTGTTGGATTTTGGTTGGGAGCGGTTTTAACTTCGAAAACGGAAGGTAAACATGGCAAGTTATAAAGCAGGGCAATAGGCCATGTCTGCTTAATACTATCTTCCAAATTAGTTGTCGCTTTCAATATACAGATAGGTTAGTCCATATGATATGATGCCATTGGCAAGCAACTCAGAAGTACACCATTTTTCAATTGGGGAGAAATAACTGCCGAGCAGCCACGGCAGTGTGAGCAACATGTGGCTGCAGGTACTTTCAGTGCTACACCTGTACTCTAATGACAGCGAAACAAAGATATAAAGTTGGGAGCTTTTGCGACCGTAAAGTGCGTGAATTTAACCTATCTCAGATTGTCCAAATCATGTGTAGGATCGACGGCGACATGTGTAACCAAACACTCGGCACGTCTGATGGATGGCTCGGCGTGCTGTACAAGCAAGATACGCCTGCTACGTATGGTCTATGTG